GTACTAATCCCTCGGACGGTACTCTAGAAGTCGTCGTCTTAATAATGTTGTAAGTATGGACTACGATGGAGGCCTGACCGTTAAGTTACCTAAGCCTCCGTTTTTCCATGGATCTCTAGGATGTTGACCTGTATTTTTTCTACTAATCCTTGACCTAAAAGATTACAACATTCTTTTTTTAGTTATTACATATTTATGTGAGATACACTGTCTCTGTGAAAATACAAAAATATCTATTATTTGAATCTAGACGATTTCTTTTAGATGACTTGGGATATAAATAATAAAAGTGGAACAAAGATAAAGAAATCGAAGATAAGACCATCATGATCATAGGTCACAACATATAAGGGAGAATCGAGTCAACCATCTCGCGCAGTGATCATGAGTTCTTGTCCACAATACTTTACTGCTCCAGTCAGCAAGCTCAGCCGATCTCCCTTAGTTTCAGTAGAACTATAGGAAAAAGAAAAAACAGGTTCGACACGACTTTATATATATACAAATTTCAAACAAAACCACAAGAAGGAAAGCAAGAAAGTTAAGTAGTTCCAAGTCCAACCTTTTTCTTTTTATCTTTCCAAGGCCGAAGGGAGGCCTTATAATTAAGTTACCTAAACCTCCATTTTCCCGTTCATGTTGACCTGTATTTTTTCTACTAATCCTTGACCTAAGAGATACTACATCTTTTTTAGTTATTACATATTTATGTGAGATACACTGTCTCTCTGTTAAAATACAAAAATCTCATCTCATATAATCTAGACGATTTCCTTTAGATGACTGGGGATACAATAAAAAAAAATGGAGGAATAAAGATAAAGAAATCGAAAATAGGACCATCATAGGTGCCAAGAGGTATAAGGGAGAATCGAGTCAACCATCTCGCGCAGTGATCATAAATGTCACTGAAACCAGTAAACTTTACTGCTCCAGTCAGCAAGCTCAGCCGATGTCCAGTAGGTGGCGGCCTACTCCGCCAGTTAAAATTTAGTTGACATGTATGAAGTTAAAACTGAACAAAGTGATCGATCCACAGAGTTTTACATTATATGTACATTGGATACGATAACTCCAGGCTATTACTCCGATACCATTCAATATCCAAACTCTTATTACCTTTTCATTTTTTTCAACGGGTCTAAGTCGCCTTGGTCGACTACTCCGACAGTTGCAGTGCGCGCCTAGTCAGTTCTATTCTATTAAGATGAGGCTCAGACGGAGCAGTAGTGAGGGGAGAAGTGAGAGGAGTAACGAGAGCCACGGGAAGTAGAGTCGTTATTACCGAAAAAACCACCCGAAGAAACCGTACGTATGTTCACAACCAGCAACCCCAACGAAATGGAACTTGTACTCCGGACGAAGGAAACGTAGTAGTGCGAAGAAGAAGGTGAGTAAGTCGAAGAAGGGTACACAGCGGAAGTGGAAGAGTAAGAAAAGAAATTACGGTCGACAGAGAAAGAACATCCGAAGGTAGGCGAGTAGTATGTGGAAGAACTGTAGTCGTGCACTGAGGAAGAGGAAGCATCGTCGAAGGGCGTAGAACAGTACAAGGTTGTGGAAAAGTTTCTTCAGTAGTGGTGAGTTGTTGAAGCCGTAGGGTAGGGGTAACTCCACCGGAAAGAAAAAACCGAAGAAAGCTGCAAGAAGTCGGAGAACGTCAACACATCTTCGAGCCGGTTGTATACTCAACCGTTCGTGCCGTATTCGAACCCGTGATTCTCGTTGGAGAAATATCACCTCTTCCTGTAAGACCCTCCTTGCCTCTCGTAGGACATCATCCCTGAGACAGAGCCATCGACCGAACTCGAGGTCTTCCCATAACATAAAAGCGAAGTCACCTCTATAGCAACTTCTTACCATACTACCTCCCCCCAATCGACTACACTCCCCTCTCCGCCTTTGCTCCATCGGGTACCTACTTGATCTCTAACAGACCTGTTCTAAAAGGACACCACACCTGTTCCCCGTGTACCCTGGTTCAACGTTCACTCTACTACCACTGACAACCAAGTCTCATACTCCGTTCAGAAATAGTGCGACGAACAGGAATGCTTGTAACCACTCCTCTGATGACTCACGGAACTGTCCTCAACCATTACAGTTGCCTTCAAGCAAGCGTGAGCTCACGAGGTCTGAACCCCGGTAGAAGCATGACGACTATTACAGTGCCAGCTTTCCATGCTAAGGTCAGCGAGCCTTGCGTGACCATTACAAGAGTGCACACTTCCGGAACTGCACCCGAACAGGTATGTCACTGTTCTTATAGAGAAACGCGTGACCAACTGGTCAAGCCGCAAGTATCAGCAGTGCTTAGAGACAGGTGGCGGCGAATTCTTGTCGTTTTTAGTGTTGTAGCTCTGGAACCATACGTACCCAGCTTACCCTCCCTATTGTGTGCTGTTGTTATAGTACACATGCTCGTATTGTGTCCTTGGGCGACCATATTACCCTCTGTACCGGTAGTTGTTCCTCCTCAGCCGCGGCAACCAAACGAAAAAGTGCTCAACGGAACAGTTTATAAAGTTAGGTTCTCTGAGGCTAAAGTGGTAGCTGCATAGGAAAGAAGCTCATTGGTTAACTACGCAACTCACCCAACAAGACAAGGGTGAACTGGACTATCGGAACAGGAAACTTTTACTGACGTCCTCCGTCGCTACTGGGTAGACGTGTCTATCACGTTTCTTGACACTACAAAAGAGCTAAAGGTGACGTGACGACCACGACTTGTCTAAATGGTCTAGGTCGTTACTGTGCGAGTGAGTATGGTTGTGGAACGACCTCGGGTCAGAGTAGGCGTGGTATGTAGTCGAGACCACCATACTCTAGAACACCTCAAGGCAGTGGACGTTAGTAGTCCTTTTTATGAAAATCCGGTACCGTGGGTTTCATACGGGTACCTCACACGGTACCGTATAAGATTCACGGTACCATCAGGACCCTGACAGGGTCCCATCGGACTCCGATAGGGTCCAGACGGGTCCTGTCGGAGTCCGATGGGACTCTGTGAGGGTCCTGGTGGTACCGTGAATTTTATACGGTACCGTGTGAGGTACCCGTATGAAACCCACGGTACCGGATTTTCATAAAAAGGACTACTATCGGAAAAGTTGTTACAGTTTTATCCGGAGAAATCACTATCCCAACTGTCGTGCTCGGGCCTTCACCAGTTCTCCTACACTGGTCATACAAAACTCAAGGAGTACCACGGCAAGTTCTTTCGCCACTCAGGTCAAACACGGTTCACCACACTTTAGCCCAGGTAGTGCTCGGAGTTCGTACAGCGACCGGAGTAACCGCTCGGCAGCTACTAACTCTCCCTTTGGTGCCCGACGTTGGACTTCCGTCAATAGTTAGTCTTAGAAGAGGAGGCGATTACTTTTTGCGCGTACAGAGAGAGCTAAACAGACTCGGTTCGAGTCCTGTGGGAAGTTAGCAGCAGCCTCTCAGAGCAGTAGCTCAGCCTAACGGAAGAAGAGACGGAGGGTTGTAAGAAAGAGGTATCGAGCTGTGTGAAGGAAGTTTGAGTAGGCAAAAAAGGGACGACCATCGACGAGTAACGAGACCATCTCTTACTGTCGGAACAGGTAGGTAGATAGAGAGGCAAGTTTCCTGGCCGCTACGAAATTTCTTAGTCTCCGACGCACTGGTTGGTATGTCATAACATCTCTCACCGCTGCGCAGTTTCGACTGAGACATCCGTTTTAGTACTGGAAGGTTTTCCCCTACGTGTTCACTACACTGTGAACGTATACGAGGGGCTTCCAGACTTTAGATTTTAGAAAGATAAAGTCTGAGACAGCCATCTAAAGGTGATGAAAATCACAGCCCTAGATACATATATCACATGTGGACATAACACTGGTTCATAACCTCGGTAACATCAAGATGAACATAACGATCAATGCTTTGTTTAAAGTCTCATGGAGTCTAAGAGATGAGTTTTACGGGACATTATAACATGTCAACTTTAAAATTCGAGCCGAAACGAGTCAGATAAGTCTTATGTATATATATATTAGACTCAGAAGGACCCTATGTAGCCCCGTGTGAATAGTAGAACGGCCTATGAAAATGAGTAACCATCCACCATGGAGTAACTGGCCACCTACTGACATCTCCCTTTACAGGCTTTCCAGCTGCTTAAAAAAGCCATTTCAAAAAACCACAAGAAGGAAAGCAAGAAAGTTTTAAGTTTTCAGTAGTTCCAAGTCCAACCTTTTTCCTTTTACTTTCCAAGACCGAAGGGAGGTCTGACCGGTACGTTAGTTAAACCTCCGTTTTTCCATTGGATCTCTAGGATACTGACCTGTATTTTTTCTACTAATCCTTGACCTAAGAGATTACAACATTCTTTTTTTAGTTATTACATATTTATGTGAGATACACTGTCTCTGTGAAAATACAAAAACCCATCTCGATTATCTGAATCTAGACGATTTCTTTTAGGTGACTAGGAATATAATAATAAAAAGTGTAAGAACAAAGACAAAGAAACCGAAGATAAGACCATCATGATCACAGATTACAAGATGGATAAGTAAGGGAGAATCGAGTCAACCATCTCGCGCAGTGATCATAAGTTTCTCACCTAATCCTTTACTGCTCCAGTCAGCAAGCTCAGCCGATCTCACTTAGTTTCAGCTAGAAACTATAGGAAAAAGAAAAAACAGGAGCGACACGACTTTAATACTATATACAGATTTCAAAACTAAACCACAAGAAGGAAAGCAAGAAAGTTTTAAGCTTTAGTAGTTACCAAGTCCAACCTTTTTCTTTTTACTTTCCAAGGCCGAAGGGAGGTCTGACCGTACGCGTTAAGTTACCTAAACCTCCATTTTTTCA